ACTCTCTATCTCTCTATCATGAACTCTCCTAGCCTTTCTCTTTCTCTCCTGCTCTTGCTCTCTTTTTTCTCTTGCTCCCTCTCCCTAACTCATTTCTCTCTCTCACTCCCTCTCTCTCTCTTCTACTCTCATTCTAACTCACCCTCCCACTCTCTAACATTTTCTTCCTCTCTCTATATCCTTCTAAATTTCATTAGTTTTTCTTTTTAATGTCTAGATCTTTGTCCCTCTTTCCAACTCCCCTTCTCCCCATCTCTCTTACACTTTCTTTCTCCTCTCTCTTTTGTTTTTTTTCTTTCTATATTTTGCTCCCTTGCTAACGCCCACACTCTCCAACCATATGTGTCTCTCCCTCCCATCTTCTCTAGCTTTCACTCTCATTGTGTGTTTCTCTTTCTCTCTTGCTCTTGCTCTCTCTTTCTTTTCTCTCGCTCCCTCTCCCTCATTTCTCTCTCTCACTCACTCTCTCTCTCTTCTACTCTCATTCTAACTCACCCTCCAACTCTCTCACATTTTCTTCATCAACTCTCTACTCTCATTCTAACTCACCCTCCAACTCTCTCACATTTTCTTCCTCTCTCTATCTTTCTAAACAATATCTATATCTTTTCAATATCTATATCTTTGTCCATCTTTCCGACTCCTCATCTCTTTTACCTTTTCCTAATCCTCTCTTTTTCTTTTTCTCTATCTATCTTTTGCTCCCTCGCTCATGCCCACATGCACTCACCCTATTTATCTCTCCCTCCCATCTTCTCTTGCTTTCACTCTCATTGTGTGTCTCTCTGACACAATCTTTCCTTCCCTCCCCTCCTATCTCTCTAACTCTCTCGCTCCCTCTCCATCTCTCTTTACCCACTCACTCTCTCTCACTTTCATGTTCACTTTCTCTTGCTCACACACTCTCTCCACTCCTGCTCCCACTCCCTCACTCACTCTCCCTTTCTTTTTCTCTCTCCCTCTCTCTTGTAGATTCTATCTCTCTCCCATTGCATATTTTCCTCTCTCCCTTGTCTCTTTCTCACTCTTTCTCGCTATTCTCTATCTTAACCTCTCTCTCCCACTCTCTCTCTCACTTTAAATATCTCTCACAATCACTATTATGCCTCTTTTACTCCCTCTCGGTCGCTAACTATTCTCTCTCTTTTTGTCACTATCTCTCTCCCTCTCTCCCTCTTCATATCTTTCTCTCTCTTACTTTCTTCTTACTTTCTTTTACTTTACTATCACATGAAATTTATTTGCTCCTCTTTCTCTCCCCTTTCTCCCACCACTGTCTTGCACTCTTACCCTTTTACTCACTCTTACTTTATCTCTTGCTCTTGCTCACTCCCCACTAGCTCTCTCACTTGCTCTTCTCCCTCACTGTCTCAACATCTCTCGCAGTTTCTCTCTCTCCCTTCTTATTCTCTCTCTTTCTCAAAAGCTCTATCTTGCTCTTTCCCCCTCTCATTCTCTCTTTATCTTTCTCGCTCTCTCTTCTTTATTTTCTATGTCTCATTTGCTTACTCTATTTTACTCTTCTTTTTCTCTCATTTTTATCTCTTTTAACCAATTCTTTCTCTCTCTTTTTTTTCTCTTTCTCTCTACACCCTCCTGTCATCCTCTATCCTTTTGTCTCTTCCTACTACACTCTCTCTCCTCCATCTCCTTCTCAATTTCTCTCTTCTCTAGAAATTTACTCACTTCACTCCCTCACCATCTCTCTCTCCATCCCTTTTACCATCTCATCCTTTAGGTCACTTTCAATTCTTATTTCTCTCCTACTCTTTCTACCTCTTACTCCCGTCTCTATCTCTCTCTCTCACCCTTGTCTCTTTACTTCCTCTCTCTCCTTTTATTCCTTTCTCCTCTCCCTCACTTTATCTCCCTTTATCCCTCTCTCCTTCTCCTACACTCTCTCCCTCTCACTCTCACTAACTTTCTTTCTCTTTTCACATCCATCTTTCTCCCTCCCTCCCGCTCTCTCACTCGCTTGCCCTCTACCCCTTTATCTCCCTTCCTCTCACCTTTCTCTCACCTTTCTCACACTATCTCTACTATGTCACTTTATTTCTTTTATTCTCACTATCTCTCTCTCTCTCTCACTCTCTCCCACTCTTCATCTCTCCTTCTCTCATGCTTTCGCATTCACCCTCAAGCTCTGCATCCCTCTCACTTACTCTCCCTTCCCTTTCATAAATTATTTCTCACTCTTTCACTCTCTCATCTCTCTCACTATTTCTTCCTCATTTTCTAGGTCAATCTCCTTTTTCTCTTCTTTCTCTCTCTAGCTCTCTCTCCCACTCTCCCCATCATTCCCCTCTCACTTCTTATTACTACCTCTTTCTCTTGCTGTCTCTCACTCTCACTTTCTTTGCCTATCCTTGTTTCTTTCTCTAATTCTTCTCACAGATTCTCCCTCCTTATCTATTTTCTCTCACTCTTTCCTTTTCCTCTCACTCTCTCTCTCAATCAAAATCTAATTATGTCTTACTCCATTCATGTCACTCTCATTCTTACTCTTTTCCCACTCTTACCTCACACTCTCTCTATCTCTATATTGCTCGATCTCTCTTCTATATCCCTCTCTCATCTTTCTCAATATTTCTTCTTCATTGTCTAGCTCTCTCTCCCACTGTCCCTATCTTTCTCCCTTTTGTTCCCTCTCTCACACCCACACTTTCTCCTCCGTTCTAGTTTTCCCTCTCTTCCTTTCTCACTCTCCCTCCGTCCATCTCTCTCCCTCTCCCTTTTTCACTCCCTCTCCCTCTTATCTCTCTCTTCTCTCTTTCTACATCACTCTCATGCTCTCTCTTTCTCTTTCTCTCTCACTCTTTCTCTTAATTGATAGCCACTCTCTATTCACTCACCCTTTCTCCTTGTCTATAAATGTCTACCTAACTTTCCCTTTACTCACTCTCTCTCTTTCTCTATTCTCTGTTTCTCTCCTCCCACCCTCTCTCTCATTATTCTCTTTTTCAACCCTTTCTATCCCACACTCTCTCATCTCCCCACACTCTCTCAATATTCTCTATCTTGTGTGAGAGAGAGGGGGCAAGAAAGAGAGAGCAAGAGTGAAAAAGGGAAAAAGAGAGAGTGAGGGAAGAGAAAGTGGAAGAGAGTGCGTGAGAAACAGAGAGGTCACTCTTTTCCCATTTCTCCTTTAGCTCTCTCTATATCACTGTCCCTTTTCCTCCCTCCTTATCTTGCTCTCTCTTCCACTTTATCTCTTATATTCTCTCTCTCACCTCTCTCATTGCCAACCTCCCTCTCTTTGTCTCTTTCACTTGGTTGCTCAATCTATGTCACTCACTCTTACTTCTTTCTTTCCTGTTGTCTCTCTTTATCTTACTCTCTTCACTCTCCCTCCCTCCCATCACTCCCTCTCTCCCTCTCACTCTCCCTCCCTCCATCTCTTTTCATCTCCCTTTCATGCTCATTCTCTGTCACCTTGCTCTAATTCTCTCACACTCTCCTTCTCTCTCTCCCTCCATCTCTCTCTCTATCTCTCTCTTTTTTTTGCTCTCACTCTCTCCTGCTCTTTTCTCAATCCCTACTTTTCTGTCTCTCTCACTCTCCTTCTCTCACTCTCCTCTACCCTCTCCTTCCCTCCCTCTTTCCCCCTTATCTCTTCGACCTTCTCTATCACTCGCTCACACTCCCCTTTCTGTTGCTTTGCCTCTCATCACTCTATTTCTATTCAATCACTTCTCTATCTTCCCCTCTCACTCCCACTCTTTTTACTAACTCCCTCCCTACTCTCAATTCTCTCTCCTCTCAAAATATTTTATCTCTCTTGCTCCCTCCCACTCTCTCTCACCCTATTGCTCTCTCGCTTTCACTCTCTCTATCCCAATGTTTCTCTCGTTCTTTCTCTCAGGCCCTTTTTCATTCTCCAGTTTCCTCTCTCTTTTATCACCATCTTTATTCTCTCACTTTCTCATTTCTCTCTTACTTTCTTTCTCTTAACCTCCTTAATTGTTTCTCCATTGCTCTCTTTTTATCTCTCTTCCTTGCCCGCTCTTTTTAGTTCTCTCTTCATCTTCTTCCTTATCTCCTTAACTATCTTTCTCTCTATTCTCCACTCTCTTTCACCCTATTTCTCCCTCTTCTCTCCCTCTTTTTCATCCTCTCTTAGTCTCTCTTTTCTCATCTTCTTCTCTTCCACTCTCACTCTCTCTCCCATATCTCTCTCTCTCTCCTCCCTCTTCTATCATTTCTTCTTTCTCACTCTATCTTCTCTTTATATCTCTCACTCCCACTCTCTCTACTCTCCTCACTCTATCTCCTCCTCTTGCTCTCTCTCTCTATCTCTCATCTCTTTTACTCCATCTATAACCCTTTCCCTTCCCCTTCTATCCCTCTTGCTTTATCTTCTTGTGGTTTCTCTCTCTCTCTTCCTCCCACTCTTCTCCGTCCCTCTCTATCTCACTTCTCCTCATATCTTTCTAGCCATTTTCACTCTCTCTCTATCATACTCTCTAGCTCCTATTCTCTCTCACTCGCTCTCCCACTATATTATTTCTCTCTTTTGATCTTGCTACCCTATCCCTTTTTCTCCCTCCCTCCCTCTTTCTTTCTCTCTCCTTCTTTATCACTTCCCACTATCTCTCAATTTCTGTATCTCCCTACCTCCCTCCCTTCCTCACTTCATTCTACCTCTCTCTCTCTCCACTCCCCATCTCTCTCCATTCATCTTTTGATCACTCTCCTTATCCTTGCACTTCCTTTCTCTCTCTCTCATTCTCTCTTGCTCTGTCCTCTTTCATCCCTTAGTCTTTCTTACTCCCTCTCTCTTTATCTCTCACTCTCACTTACTACTCATTCTTCTTTCTCTTTCTCTTGCTGTGTTTTAAAATCCATCACTCTCTCCCTTTCTCTATATCTCTCTTTTTTGTCATTCCTTGTCTCTCTCACACTCTTCTATCTCTCTGTCCTGCTTACTCTATTGTCCCTCTCCCTTATATTATTCCTATAGCTCTCTCTTCTATGTCACGCTCTCTTGCCCATTTTTACAATCACTCCCTCTCTCTTTTCTCACTCTCTCTTTCTCTCACGTGATCTCTCTCGTCTCATTCTTCCTTTTTGTCTTTCTCTTACTTCTCTCTTTGCCTTCTCTCTTTACTTTCTCTCTCTACTCTCCCTCACTTTTTCTCTCTCTCTGTCTATTTGTTTCACTAGCTCTCTCTAAATTTCTCACTCTCTCTCTTTCTTAGTCACCTTTTCTCCCTCCCTTTCTCTCTCTCTTCATCCCTCTCTCCCTCCCCCCCCCCCTCTATCTACTTTCTCTAT